GAACCTGGACCCAGAACCTGGCTCTGCCATTTAACTCCCATGGGCTCGTCTCTGCCCATCTCTGGACTTCAGCCTTCTCATCTGTTACTTGGGGGAGGAGGGGCAGACAAGATGACCTTTCAGGTCAGGTCCCTTACACCTTGAAATCTGCATACACATGAGAAGGGAGATCACTTGCCCCAGATCACACAATGAGCTGATGTCAGAGCTTGAATTAGACTCCAAATTCTTGATCCCTGGGCTCCTAGCTCCTAGCTCAATGTTCTTTCTATGACACTAAAAAGCCCAGTTCTTCCAGCAGTTGGGATTTCAGGGGAGGGAAGATATGGGGGGTGGGGATCCATGGAGACACTCCTAGTCCCTTAGAAACAAAGAGAAATCCAAGTTAGGAATCAGGAGTGAGATGGTCTTGCCAAGAGATAGACAAGCCAGGCTAGTCTGGGTCTGGACCTTGGGCCGGACACGGAAGTGATGGTCTAGGAGGTCCAGGTATTGGCTGCTTCCATACTCTGATTGGCTGGTGGAAACCGGAGAAAGCTATCAGCAAGAGGATACTCACTCACTACATCAGTGGAGAGGGACTCCCTGACCTATGGATCCTAAACTTGCTTTTAACAAGAGTATTGATTCCTCTGCCTCCAGCTTAAGTAGTGTTTAAAGCCTCCTGGGAGATTTTCATCCACTTGGAAGGCAATTGAGGAAAAATTCAACTCTCATTTCATCCTTATAGCTGAAGCCAACTGCACTCCATGTCTGCCCCTTCCTGGAGGCAGGGCTTCCTTGCCTCTTCAGCTCAGGAAAAAGAAAACAGAGTCTTTACACACTCAGGACAAACAACTCAAGCTACTGTACAAGACGAGCTGTGTTAGCAACACCACACCCTCCACCTCTTCTTAGTTCTCAGACTCTGTGAGAGTGTGTGAAACTCAGATGCCTTCCAGCAGAGAAAGTACAAAATATCTGAGCCATCACCCACCATGCATGTCTGTGGTGGTCTCAGGAAGTGAGTTTTCTAAGAAGCAGGAGAGACCCCCAAACTGAGAACTTTGGGAAAGGTCTTAAAGAGGCAGCATCATGCCTCACCATACTCCCAGGCACCTAGACTAAAAGCCTCAGTGGTCTATGACCTCTTCCTCATGCCCTATTTCCAAGGGTAAAAGATTTACAAAGTTCTGTCATTTTTACCTTTAACTCACCTTTGTTACCCACCCCCTCCTCTCCACCTTGATGGGCCCCACTCTATTCAGGCCCTCACCTTCTCATACCTGCAATAAGCTTCTAACTGGCCTCTCTATGTCCAGTGTTCTGCCCCTCCTCTCACCAACCCAGCCTTAACACACTGATTAGTATTCCCCTTACAGGCATCTAAACTATGGCACTCCCCTGCTGAAAGACACTCAGAGGCTCCCCTTTACCTACATCTATTGTTTGCCCCTCTAGATTCCAAAGTTTCCCAACCTCTTTTAAATGCAGTTTGGGACAGGATCCTCTCCAGGCCTTAACTTTCCATAATTAGAGAACACTTGGGGTCAGATTTATGAAATCTCTCTGAAGAAATCTATTTCCACGTGCTTTCCAGCTTGATTTCCATTCCCAAGAGTTCTGGATAAACAGAGCTGGTTTGGAAGGGATCCCAGCTCAAGAATAGGACATAAATAATGAAATCCTCATAATTACTTAGAATAGCCTGGTGGATTGCTGCAGTTTGGGGAGAAGAGAGAAGCCTGACCTCTATCCCAAGTTCACCCCACTTCTGGACACCTTTGTTTACTCACATCCCCTGCTCTAAAGGATAGAGAGCTTGCTTGGGGATCTAGGACATCCAGGTGCCAGTGAAAACAACTCCTAGTGCCCATGAATGCAAACACCATTAGTGTTCATCCACAGAACAAGAGTCTTCTGGGATCACGAGACAAACGTCACTCCTTTCTCCCAACCAATTTAGTCCCTTTAGTGGAGTTGCTGTTGCCCCACCCCCATCATAGGGCCATAGGACACAGAGCTAGGAGAGACCTTTTAGTTCATCTAGCCCAACGCCTGGTTTTACAAAGGAAGAAATTAAAGAAAAGAGTGAAATGACTTACCAAAAAGCCTTTGCCATGTCGCTTATCATTGGGCTCAATGGCATTGCCCTCTGTCTTTGGATAACTTTGGGTCGAACTCCCTTGGGATCAACCTTGGAGCATCCCAGGCCATCAGAGCTAGAATGATTCCTCTTACTGGGAGAAGGTTCAACTCAGTTAAATGTTGGATGCAATCAAAAAACTGGGTTTGAGTCTCAACTCTGCTACTTCCTGTCTGTATCGCTTTGGACATGTCACTTAAACTTTCTAGGTTTCAGCTTCCTTGACAGTAAAATGGGTGGAGACAGACCTCCAAGATCATTCTAGCTCCGAGTCTATGGTCCCGACCACTGATGGCTCATTATGGATCATCCCCCACCTAGTGAACGGCTAGGGGCTCACATGGCCTCCTAGAACTTAGAAAACATAAGTCACCCACACCTTTTTCCCAGAGACTGTGTTTGGGATGTTTTGAAGTCTGTGCTGTCAGAGCACAAGTGAGTGATGAGGACCACTGAAATACCTGACTGCTCGGTCTAGCTCTGGCATTAACACACTACGTGACTGTGAGCAAGCCACTTCTCTGCTCTGAGTCTGAATTTTCCCTTATAGAAAATAAGGAGATCGAACCGCTAAGATTTTCAATAGCAGGCCACATGGCCAAAAACCTATGTGGGAAGGCCACCTGAATTTAATTACATAATGAATTGCACTCAGCTCCAATTATTCTTAGCAATTAATCCAATAATAATTCACAACACTTAACATCAGCCTGCTTGTTTTTGTGTGCTAGTGAATTAACTAAAAAGTTTTTGCTAAAAATTTGGGATGGGGTAAGCAGGCTAAACCTGGGCTTCATTCATTCATTCATTTATTTATTCAACAAGTATTTATGAAGTACTTACTAAATATAGTGTGAGACAATGAAAAAGCCACTAACTGGAGTGGCAAGAATTGGATCTGAATCTTATACTTACTATGTGACCTTGGGCCAAGTCACTTAACCCCATTGCGTAGCCAAAAAAAAGGAAAAAAAAGCACTTAGCATGGTGCCTGGCACAAAGAAGTTGCTCTAAAGATCCCTTCCCTGTGATCTAAGAGATCTCTCCTGGTCCAGTGAGCCATTCTTTATGACAAAGAATAAAAAAGCAAAAAAGAAACAGTTCAGTAAAATTGCCCACAGAGGTATCCTTCTACATGAGCAGTTTGTGCCTTTATTCTTGGGAATTAGGTTCCCTCCCAGGACTGAGCTTGGCTACAGGATGGGGTGGGCAGGAGGAAGAGAAGAGCCAGTGCCTGCCTGTAGGGAGCTGTCCTCTTATCTCAGGAGACACGCTCACACAGGAGAAACAATCAGAGGACAGCATGAGGCTGCATGAGTAAAGGAAGGCTTGTGTGGTGCAGATAAGAGGGGCCATCAGATGCTATAGTAAGGGTTGTCCAGTGTTTCCTGGGCTGCTCCAGTAGGAGGAGATTGCACTGGACCTGAGGGCAGAAGAATGGGGAAGGCATGGATAAGTGGGGAGAAAGCAGAGTATTGCAAAGGGAGGGCAAAAGCATGAGGATCTTAGTGACCAAAATAGATGTGTTGAGGAGTATTGGGAAATAAGCTAGGTAGGCTGCTAGATTGTGGCTGACCTAGGATGCCAAGTAGAGGAGCTTTGACTGTACAATGAGGGCAGCAGGATCCACTTGAGCAAAGGTGGGGGGAGGGTTGTCAAGGGTAGGAGGACATGGCCAGATCTGTGAATCAGGAAGATTCATCCGGGAGCATGTCTAGGATGGGCTCAAGGAAGAGATGCCCCTTTGGAAGCCCTTGCAATAATCCAGGGAAGAGACAAAGTCTGAGATTCCATGAGAGTGTTGGAGTCTTCAGTACATGTTGGGCAGGAGCGGGAAATCTTTGACACATTCTTCGGCAGAATTACAAAGGATATCACTGCCTTGAAAGGCAGCATGGCATAGTAGCTAATAGGTGGTCCAGGAAGTCCTAGGTTCTAGTCCCTCCTCCAACACATCCCAGCTGTGTGACTCTGAGCAAGTCACTTACCAGGCAACTCTCTGAGACTACAAGTTGCGAAGAAGGAGAAGGGAAAGAACATGAATTTATTAAGCACCTACTATGTGCCTGCCACTATGCTAAGTGCTTTACAAATATGTTATCCCCCTACAATGTAAAGGAAGTTTCCTCATCTGGGAATTTCTTGCAACAAATAAATCACAAGTCCATTCCCTATCCTTATCAGCGCCTTAACCCCTGTTCCCTGCCCTTTTCTCCCTCTCCTCCCTAAGCATCATACTACACACACACACACACACACACACACACACACACACACACACCCTAATCTCCCTGTTCACACTCTGAAGTTTCAATGACTGAGAGTAGTTTAGGACATAATTCTATCTGGGGGAGGACTGGCATTTTAAAAGGGATTAAAACTTTCTGCTAAAGGAATGGTGCTTTAGTGGTAGAAGGTCTTGCCTTGGTCATGGTTTGGGGGAAATACTGGTAGGAGAAAGAATAGAAGGCCTCCCAAAGACCTTTGTTATCACCCCCTAGGTGGTGACTACCAGAAGCAGTGGTTGAAGGGACTGTCTGACTTGCTTGTATTTGTACCCTGAGCTTAGCACAGTACCTGGCACACAAGGAACACGTGAGTGCTTTTACATCCAGTCAGTCATTTGTGGAAGGAAGGAAAGAAAGAAGGAAGGAAGGAAGGAAGGAAGGAAGGAAGGAAGGAAGGAAGGAAAGAAGGAAAGAGGGAGGGAGGAAGGAAAGAAATTTTAAACACCTATTATGTGCCAGGCACTGAACTAAGCACTTTATAAATATTATCTCATTTGGTCCAAAGTGAAGACCTGCCCTACTGGCCCTTCTGACCCTTGGTTGCTCTCAGGGTGACAATGGGACCTACTATTTTTTGTACTCCACAGCCTGAAGAGCTGACCAACGCCTTGGAGATCAGCAACATCGTCTTCACCAGCATGTTTGCCCTGGAGATGCTGCTGAAGCTGTTGGCCTTTGGGCTTCTGGGCTACATCAGGAATCCTTACAATATCTTTGACGGCATAATCGTTGTGATCAGGTGACTGGTGGGCTATGGTTGGGGGGATGAGAGGTAGGGGGTGAGGCACTAAAGAAGGGAAGATCCCAGGAGCCAGCAAGGAGATTGAGTCCAATGGGGCCTCTTTGGAAACCAAGAAGTCCAGCTCTAAGTGCTTAGAGTGGTTTTCAGGGAAGAATCAGTCTCTGATATCCCCCAATCCTCAGTATAAAACTTTGTTCTGGTCACTAGACCTTCCACTCCCTTTGAAACAGGTAGGTCCAGATAAAAAACATTGACTCTGAAGACTTTTACTAAAACAGAATCAGCAGAGAAGAACAGATATAATTTCCTTTCAAGGATTCACCCAAGGATAAGGAAGCACAGGACTCCAGAAATCTGTGAGAAACTTCAGGCAGTTCCCAAACCCAACAGGGGTAGTAATCCAGAAAGTCTGGCCATGGGCTCACAGGACTTAAGAGCTGAAAGGGACCTCCTCCTATCCCCAACTTTTGCAGTTAAGTAAATAAAAAAAGTAATTTACACAGAATAAGTAGTGATAGTCTTGGACCTGGAATCAAGAGATCTGGATTCAAACTCCAGCTCTCACACTTACTAGTTGTGTGGCATTGGGCAAATCACTTAATTTCTATCTAACTCAGTATCCTTCACTGAAAAATAAAGCAGTTGTACTAAAGGATCCCCAAGTGTCCCTTCTAACTCTAACATTCTGTGATTCTATGAAACTGGGATTTTTTTTTTTAAAGGAAGCACTGTGCAGGCTAAGCCTGATTATTTCCCAAGGGCCTCAGGGTAATCTTTGCAAGGCAGGAAAGATATTCATTCTTTGCTTAAACAAAGTATTCCTAGTTAATCAAAACCTCTCCACCCCAGAGGTGTAGGCTTTTATTTTGTTGGCTATCAGAGGATGAACAATCCAATTCAGGTCAACAAAAACTTATTAAACACCTTCTGTGTGAAGTTGTGCATGCCTGTCTTAGGTTCTGGGAAAACAAAACTGGAAAGTAGTCCATTCCCTGCCCTCAAGGAATTTACAATCTAATGATAGGAATGGCAGTGTAGCACAGTGACAAGAATAATGGATTCAAGGTCAGGAAATCTGAGTTCTAGTCCCATATCTGCCATTAATTTCACCTAAGATCTCGGGAAAATCACTCCCTTGACACTCATGGAATACACAGAAATATACCATTCCCATGTTGTGAAGATGCCTTGGGATGGAAAGCTGGAGACAGAGGAAAGGCTACTTGGAGAGGGGGAGACTCAAACCATAACATGAAGCATAGACATATAGAGACAGATAGATAGATAGATAGATAGATAGATAGATAGATAGATAGATAGATGGATGGATGAATGAAAGGGGACCTAATTTTCTGACATGCTCCTCCCTGTGCCTTGTGCCAAAAGTGTCTGGGAAATTATCGGGCAGTCAGATGGGGGTCTGTCGGTACTCCGGACCTTCAGGCTCCTTCGGGTGCTGAAGCTGGTACGGTTCATGCCAGCCCTTCGACGACAGCTGGTGGTGTTGATGAAGACTATGGATAACGTCGCCACCTTCTGTATGCTGCTGATGCTGTTCATATTTATCTTTAGGTAACCTCCCCCCAGAGCCTTGACCCCAGCCCTGCACACAGCTACCCACCCCTACCCGCAGCTAAGCAGGAGCCAACTGGGGGAGTCCCGCTGTCCATGGTGCTGAGTAGACACAGGGAAAGCAGAAGGAAGCTCAAGTCCACATGAGAGCTCCCTCTTGGGAGGATGGGGGAGAGGAGACTCAAATACAAATAGTGAGACGACCAGGCATTTTCTATTGAAATCCTATTGTGTGTCAAGCCCTGGACTACATGTTAAAGGGGGAAAAGAGCCAAGGATTGGGAGGGGTGGACCGTCCTTCATGGCCTAGTGTCCCTGGCTGGGGAGTATTCCCCCCTCCCACACTGACCCATGGCTCTGGTCTCTCTCAATTCCATTCACCCACAGCATCCTGGGTATGCATCTCTTCGGGTGCAAATTCAGCTTGAAAACTGACACTGGAGATACCGTCCCAGACAGGAAGAACTTTGACTCCTTGCTGTGGGCCATTGTCACTGTGTTCCAGGTAAAGTCCAGAACCTCAGCAGGGGTAGGGCTGTTATAGCCAGCCTCACACGCAGCCCTCAGATTGACTTTCTTTGTCCCTCAAGGGCATTCCTTCCCAGGCCATCACAGCTGCAGTCCAAAGCAAAATCCCCATTTATACTAGGCTGCTCAGAAGGGTACCCCTAGCCTTAAGGATTATAACTGCTGAAGAGCTAAGAACAATAAGTAATTAGTAATATTGTATTTCAACAGGGCATTGATGATCAGTGTTAGCCCACTCTGACACTCTCGGCTCAAATAAGAAGATGCCTGTGGGAGAAAAAAAACTGTCTCTGCCTATGCCCTTCACCCTATCTCTGTCAATCTTTCTCTTTGCCTCCATATCTTTCCCTTCTCTACCTCCTTCTCTCATTCTTCACTCCCTTCTCTACTCCTTCCCTCTCCTTGTTCTTCTTGATTCTCTCTACACCCTTGTTTCTCTCTTTTTCCCTATTTTTCCCATCCATTCACTTTTTGAGTTAATCAGTCATAAGGTGAATGAAAATATATTTGTTCAAATTTGTCATAATTACTGATTAAAGTTTTATATTCCTATATATCTTTTTAAAATGCGGGTGAAACGAACTTTTCTAGAGACATAGAAAAACATAAAATAAAAATTTGAGTGAAACCTTCTATTGATTGGGGGAATACAGGAGTGGGGAGACTGGTTCAGTGGCTCTCAATAGAAAAAATGTTCTCCCAGGTCAGGTTTACAACAGTGTAAAACTTCCACCAGCCACATGCCAAGCTTTTTACATAAGGAACCAGGGTCTCTAAATGTACTGACTGGTCATGGAGGAGGTAACCAAGCTATAATGCCAAATAACAACAATAAGACCAGCTAGCGACCAGCTTACATAGGATTGTTATTGTGAGCATTGTTTTCACACAACAAATCTATGGATTAGGTAGTACAGTTATTATCCCCATTTTACACGTAAAGAAACTGAGTCTCAGAGGGGGCAGGTGACACACCTACAATTAGATAGCTCTTATATGTGGGATAAAGGATTCAAATCTAAGTCTCCTGACTCTAAATCTAGGGTGGTTTCTACCATGCTATGCCATAGCACCATTGCCTTTTAGGAGCCATGTGGGACTGGGCTGGAGATAGAAGCTGCTAAGGACGGGAGGTTTAAGAATGAATGAATGAGTGAAACAGTATTGACTCTGTGCCAGTCACTGTATTAAGGAAGAATAACACATCTTTTCCCTTTCCCTTGCTTCTTGTCCTGGTTAGGGCAATTCACCATTATTGTGTCTGATTTTGGGTTCCATATTTTAAGAAGGACTTTGACAAGCTAGAGATGGGCATAGTGAGAGGGAAGAAAACCATGTGATATAAAAATAATTGAAGGTACTGGGAATATTTATCTTGGAGAAGGAAAGACTTGGGGAAGACATGTTTAATCCTTAAATATCAAAAGAGCTGTCATGGAGGGAAAGGAACAGATGTGTTATGTTTAATCCCAAAGAGTAGAATTATGACCAGTGTGGAGTGAGAGGAGATCACAGAGAGGCAAATTTTGGCTCAGAATAAAGAGGAACTTTCTAATAAGAGAACAATGTAATAATAGAACAAATGATCTCATGAAATAGTAAGGTCCCTATCTGGAAGCATTCAAGCACAATCTGAATGATTATTTATCATGGGTACTGCAGAACTGCAGTATCAGAATCAGAGCTGAGAGGAATATCAAAGGTCATGTAATCCAACTGATACCTGGTTGAGAACTTCCTCTAAAGCATCCCTGACAAGTTGTTGTCCAGCTCTTGAACATAGGAATGGTGATTTCTGTTTGTCCTGGGCAATCAGGATGATGACCTCCAAGATCCCTTCCATCTCTGGGATTCTATGCTTCTGTGCACCTCCTGGTGCACTTTCCAGGCAAGCTGGACTCTCAGTGTAATTGGGACCACCAATCAGCAACTGAGGACCATACTTTAGTCACATTTCTAGGAGCCTAGAGAGGTGACTTATGTTTTCCCACTCTAGCCACACCATTCACCACTTCAAGAGCATGAGATGAAGGTGCAGATGGTGATGTAGCATAGTAGAAAGAAATTGGAGACAATGATGGGTTCTGGTCTCGCCTCTTCCTTGAACTTGCTACATGGGCTTTAGTTCCAAAATGGGACCTTTCAATGCACAGCCTGCCTTTCAAGAATGTTGTAAGAGAATATATGAAAAGTTTTCTTTAATTGGAAAGTATGCTCCTCTTCCAGAACACATTTCCCCCTTTATAACCACCTTTGCAGCTCTTTCTTTATGGTTCACCAGGTGATAGATCCTTACCAAAGCTTCCCGTTGACACACTACTCCTAGAAATCAGTGTTCTCCCAAACCTCAGCTCTTCCAAGGATACTTTGCCTAAATCTTTCCTTCAACCCATTCACTCCCAATGATATGTTATACTTATCTGTGAACATGTCATGTCCTCCCATAAAATATAAGTTTCTTGGGGGCAGAAACTGTCATTTTAAAAATCTTTGTATTTCCTGGGCTCAGCTCTGTACTAGGTACTTAGTGAGTATTTGTCAAATTTGAATTATAAACTACAAAATGCTTTATTTACTCTGAATAGCTTTGTAAACTAAAGCCCTGTTCAGATATAAGGAATATTATCAACTCATTAACAAGATATTCCTACCTTCAACTCTGTGTTAGGTACCATGGGGAAGAAAGAAGATGCCATCTCTGACACTATCAGCAGACAAAGAATCATAGAATATCAGAGCTGGAAGGGATCTTAATGATCACCTAGTTTCTTTCTCACCTCATATTATAGATGGGAAAATGGAGACCCAGAGAATTCAAGTGACTTGACCAAAGTAACATAGGAAGTTGAGGACAGATTTCCCTGATTCCTGGAGGAGAACAGGTGGCCAGTGGAATATAAAAATTAGGAACAGACAGACAGACAGAAACAGATAGCTATATAGTAGGAAAGAAAGACACAAAGCGAAGATGAGTCACACAAAAGAAGAGATAAAGAGAAAAATGGAGAGGAAGGGGTAGGGAGAAGGGGATTTAGAGTTGCAGGGAGAAAGGCCTCACTATGGGATCATACAAGTTATAAAGAAATTATCTATTTATGTGTTTTTATTTATCTGGCCTGTGGGCTCCATAATGTTATCATTATCCTTTTCAGCTCTAGCTAATTATTTGGATTCGATATGTCCAACATGGAACTCCTTCTCTTGTCTCTTAAATCCACCTCTCCTCCTAACTTCCCTCTTCCCGTTCATGGCACCACTCTTCCTTCTCCTTCACCCTCCATTTCCCTTCAGTTGCTGAGTCTTATCTCTTTGGCCTCCATGTCTCTTTTTCCCCTTCTCTCCATTCCCATGGCCGCTCACTTGGCTCACATCCTCATTACTTTTTTCCGGCACTGTTGCAATAGCCCAGTCCATCTCCGCTCCTCATCTCCCTTCTACTATCTCTTCTCCATAAAGGGGCCAAAATAATTTCCCTTGGGCCCAGATGTGACCACACCATTCCATGCTCAAAAAACCTTCAGTAACTCCTTTTCCCCTTATGCATAAAATACAAACTCTTCTGACTGGCAATTAAAGCCCTCCATGACCTCTCTACATTTCCAGGCCATTGCTTCCCTTCATGCTCTCTTCGTTTCAGTCAAATTAAACTACCAGCCATTCTCTGAACTTGGCACTCCATCTCCTATCTTCATATCTTCACACAGGTTCTCTCTCCCCCTTGACTGGTATGTACTGTCTTCTCACCTTCCCTTCTCCAAATTCTTACCTTTCTTTTAAGGATGTTTAAGGTTTACTTTAGGTGCTGCCTATGTGAAGCCTTCCCTAATCTTCCCCTACCCCAAATTTTTGACCCTAAATTCTTTCCCACCCTCAAATAATATATGTATTTATCTACCCAGAGGAATATAAGCTCCTTGTGGGCAGGGATTGTTTCATTTTTTTTCTTTACAACCCCAACATTTAGAGCAATGCCTTAGACATAGTAGGGATATATACATTTTTGTTGAATGCAATGAAATGGAATCAGTTGATTAACTATTGTTATCAACTCTTTAGGTTCTCTTTAACTCTATTAACTCTGCTTTAAATAGGAAATCCACAGCAGCCCACAGTGGGGGTGTGTGTGGGGATGGGTGATATTCTTTAGTTTGAAGGATGAGGCAGTGGCTAGAGCAATGTCACCCCATACTTAACAAAGGTTTCTATGGGGCCTCAGAAAACTCTTGTTGGGTTCAAGGTCAGTTCATCAGGATGGCTCAAATGCTACCTGTGCAAAAAGTGATCCGTTGGTTCTGTGGAGGAAGGGAAATGGGGAAAGAGGAAGGCAACATGGGAAATCACTTTCTGTCTCCTCGCAGATTCTCACCCAAGAAGACTGGAATGTTGTGCTTTATAATGGCATGGCCTCCACCTCCTCTTGGGCTGCTCTCTACTTTGTGGCCCTGATGACTTTTGGCAACTACGTGCTGTTCAACCTGCTAGTAGCCATCCTGGTGGAGGGCTTCCAGGCAGAGGTGAGCAGCAGGGAATGGGGATAGGCAGACAAGTCCCATACTAGAGCCTCATATCTACATGTATCTCTAAATAGATATCGATACAAGGCTATAGATCTCTACATGTGGAAACCTCTATAGCCAATGGACTAGTCCCTGACTGAGGCTGAAGATGGGGTTCAGTCTGGGGCTATGGCAAGGATTTATACCCCCCCAGTAAGCTTCCCCAGTCAATTTATCCCATCTTCTCAACCTACCAGCATAACATAAGATAACATAACTCCCAGTCCTCCTCCCCTCTTTGTACCACCTCCCAATGGATTCATTGTTCTATAGCCATGTTGGTTGACCTTATCTGTCCACCAAAAATGTAAACCCCTTGAGGGCAGGGACCAAATCTGATCTTCTTTCAACCCAATTATCCATGGGTGCTTAGAAGACATTTGCTGGATTCAAAGTCATTTTATCTGTACAACCATTCCCATTCTCCCGCTCCTTGACATCCCAAACAAAGCATGAAGCTAATAACTCCTGCTTTTCCTGGCTGGCAGGGGGATGCTAATAGATCTGACACAGATGAGGACAAGACATCAGCCAACTTCGAGGAAGATTTTGAAAAACTGAGAGATCTACGAGCCACAGGTATGTTTCTTTAGGGGTTGATGAAGTGTGGAGAGAGCAATGGGAAGTTAGGGGCAAGGGACTCTGAAAAATGAAAAAGGGCCCTGTCTCCATCATGTCTCCATCCCAGTGGCCAGCATGGTTCTAGGCAAAGTTAGCTTCTGATAAAAAAGGCTGATGGCAATGACAGCAAAGTCAGTTCATAGACTCATGAATAGCAAAGCGGCAAAAGGGTTTTAAAACATAAAACATGGTCTATCAGAGCTGGGAGGGGCCTCAGAACACAGGACATGGAATTTCAGATCTAGAAGACACATTAGACATCAAATGGCTCAATCACCTTATTTTACAGAAAGAGAAACTGAGGACTAAGGAAGGGACTTACCCAGGGTCACACTACAAATTAGTAACAGAGCTAAAACTCAAACATAAAACATTTTAGGAAGAATAGTTTCTCATTGGTCTTGTGGGACTAAATGAAAATCTGGGAGACTCTGCATCTGAATATTTTCTGAAATCAGACACTGACATGACTTGTGACCTTGTCTGCTGACTTGACCTATCTGAGCTTCTTTGTAAGAGAGGACTCTCCACTTGTGCCAGAAACCTCTTTTATAACTAGTGTCAAATCTAGATCATTGAAATACCAAGCAGGGAGAAGTCTTGCAGTCATAGGATTATGAAATCATAGATGTAGAGTTGGAAAGGACCTTAGAGGTCATCAAATCCAACACCATCATTTTACAAATGAGAAAACTGAGATTGAGAGGTTAAGGGATCTGCCTAAAGTCACACAGCTGGCAACTGAGGCAGGATCCAAACCCAGGTCCTCCTGACTCTAAATCCAACATTCTATCCACTACATCCTACTGTCTACATCTTCTATGATCCATGAGACAAAAGTAAATCCTGGTCCTGGAAGGGTTAGGCAGTGGGTAGCCACTAGGACTTCCTCCCTTCTCCCCAGGGCTTTTACCCCATTGGGGAAGGTAGATAAGTTTGTTGTTGTTATTATTGTTGTCCTTGTTCATCCTTTATTCTCCAAAAAGATCAATGACACCAGGAGGGTGATGTCTTGACTTGCAAGTGAATTGGATTTAAATGAGGCAGGGTTCGGCAAAGTCATCAGAGTTCGGTGGCAAGACACAGGTCAGGATGACTGGCAATGGCCCTGATATAGTGGGAGACCTTGGCCTTTTTAAGCTAAGTTCTTTCCCAGGTCTCAGTTTGTCTGAGGCAACACCCATTCAGTGATTCAAGGACAGGTAAGAATTGAGGCAAAAGATGACCTAGTTTAACTTCTCAAAAGAAATCAATTTAGGAGGGGGAGACCCTCAGACTTTCTGGTCAGAACAGAAACAGTTGCTATTTACCCTCACTCTGAGCCATCAAAAACAAACAATGAGCAAGTGAAGCTTGGGTGGGGATCTATTATTGGCCAATCAGTGACAGCCAGAATGATTTGGGTTTAAGGCATAGTTAACTAACTCCATTTGAATCCCAATGGGCTTTATCAAAGTCTGGTTTTTCAGAGCTGTATTCCAAGAAATCATAAATGAAAACTACATGAGACAAATAGGTTAATTGTCCCAGTTTCTTGGGGGGGGGTGGGGAATGATAGAATAAATAAGTAGGAAAGTAGGAAAAACTCTAACCCCCAAACCCCAAGATATCTGGCAAAATATAAACGATCAAAATTTATATTTCTTTGGACAGAGCACCCACATGTGGGCTTTCCTCATCTCCAAGATTGCTTCCAAAGAGATCTCATTATAGTGGTGCTGATCAAGTCATCTAGGCCAAGCCTTGTTAAACTTTTTCCATTCACAATCCCTTCTGCACTTAAACTGTGGGTCCCCACCCACATTTTAAGAAGTACTGAATTTCTAGGCCATTCCTGTTGACCTCGCACCTTTAGGCCAAACTCACCAAACAGCCATCACTGCTAGACTGCCTTGGGAGAATGATCTGCTGTATCCTCTTCCTGGCTTTATCTAAACTGAGGGCATCTAACATGTTATCCATGGCTCAAATGCAAGTCTGCCTGACCTCAGAGTACAGCCCACTTGAGATTTTTTTATAGATGGGTAGATAAGCAGACAGAGGATTTATTAAGAGTTTATTATGTACCAAGAACTGTGCTAAACGCTGGGGTTACAAATACAAGCAAGAACAATAGTGACTTCCAAAGACCTTATATTCTATTAGGGGAGACCACATTAGGGGAAAGAAAGAAAACAGGGGGAATAAAAAAGGGGGTATTTGCCTGGGACATGGTATGCAGAAGGCTAGGAAGTAGTAGAATCATTTCATTTTGGACAAGATAAGATTAAAGTTCATCTATCAGTGTCTTAGGACCCAGGGGTGTTGCTCAAGGTTCTGGAGGTGGGGAGATGGGAATGATGACCAGAGACCCAATTAATTAGCACACAGATAGTATAAGTGCCAAAGCCAAAACTCAAATCCAGGAGGTCTTTTGGGCCCAAAAACAGGGCTATTTCTTCTACAATGTTAATTAAGAGTGAATATGACTAATTGAGAGGTAATGTCACATAATGCCACACTAGAGGCATTCTCAAAGATAGAAAAACCTGAGCTCAAATCTGCTTCTGACACAGACTGCCTGTGAGATGCTGGGCTACCCTAGTGTTTGCTCTTAGCTACAAGTTGCAAAGAAGGTGCTGACCAATGTTGGTAGGAGTTTCCTTATGCAAGCATCTCATGAACTAATGAAATTCCAGGCCCAATCCCTATCTCCTATTAACCTATGATTAATTATAGCAAGGCAAGGAGATAAAATGGATGGAGAACTGGTCTTGGATTCAGGAAGACTTGGACTTCAGTCCTACCACTGACATCTAATGGCCATGTGACCCTGGACAAGTCACTTAGCCACTCAGTGTTCTAGGAAACTCTCTGAGGCTTTAACTTGCAGAGAAAGTGCTTGCTGTCTTGATAAAGGGAGTTTTCTCATCTTGGAGTTCCTTATATCAAAGAAATTGCAAAAGGATAGTGCCTATTCCTATTCTTAATTATATAATTAAATTCATGTGACACTATTCATAGGTAGATTGTGTGATCCACTAATGAAAAATTTGGTCATGTCTGGTCCAAAACTAGGTCCATAGTTACTGTTCAGTGGCAAATAGTGGCTCTTCTGATGTGCCTTCAGGCGCCACCAGCTTAACCCAAGTACAAGACTCTACTCCCTTAGGACCAGAATGATTCCTTCCCCCTTCCCCCAACTAGAAAAATTGTTCACCCAGAGGTGCTTCTAGTTTGCAACACCCCTCTTGCAGTCAAGTATAGGCCTGCCCACCTATTCCTGCCAATTGGCAGGAAAAGGGCATTTCTTCACCCTGAGCCCCAGCTGGGAGTCTCCCCCAAATTAGTTTCAGTGTGCTCAAGGAGATGCTAAAGAGAATTATGAGGCTTCCAGAGTACCTGGTATTTCCAGCACATTTCCTTGTACAGACATGTATACTCTGCACTGGATTTTCTTCTTGTGTGGAATCAGCAGCACGTGTCCAGCATGTGTCCAGCACTGCCACATTCCCTGGCATCGGCTGATCAAGCTATCATGCAATACCTAGACAGGCCACAATAGGACACAACTTGGCCCCGATCCACCTTTCCAACCTTAGCACACCTCTTATTATACACACTCCTCTTCACCCATTCTGTGATGCGGGCCAACTGGCCTTCATTCTATCCCTTATACACAACACTCCAGGCCCTTTCTCCATGCCTGGAATGCACTCTAGCCTCACCGTCAACTCTCAGAGGTCCTAGTTTCTTTAAAACCTCAGCTCAGGCAACACCTTCTATTTGTAACCATTTCTTATATCCCCACTTGCTGGTGTCTTCCCCTCATCACCTTGACTTTTTATATATGCCTATCTATGCACATGGGCAGCTAGATGGCACGGTGGATAGAGCACCAGGCCAAGAGTCAGGAAGACCTGAGTTCAGATCTGGACTCATGACCCTGGGCAAGTCACTTAACCCTATTTACCTCAGTTTCCTCATCTATAAAATGAGCTGGAGAAGGATATGGCAAACACTCTAGTATCTCTGCCAAGAAAAGCGTGCCCCCCCCAAAAAAAAGGGATCGCAAAGAGTCAGACATGACTGAAATGACTAAATCTAAGTCCACATGGCCATTCGGTAGAATGCTGGTAAGCATCAGTCAGTACTCAAAGCTGATAATGTACATGTAACCCTGGGACCACTCCTCCTTCTACTACACTGCATTGTCATTACCAATTGAGCCAGCCTGTGACTCGGAGGAAAAAGGGAGTGGGCAGGGTTCCCTCCCTCTATGTTTTCATTAACTGCTTCATCACTCTTTCTGGGGCCCTATTCACATGCAATCCCTGAAGCACTTATAGCCCTCATTCTCACCATCCTTCTCACCTACAGAGATGAAGATGTATTCACTGGCAATGACACCCAATGGGCATCTGGAGGGACGTGGCACCCTGCCTCCACCTCTCATCACACGTACTGCAGCTACACCCATGCTGACACCCAAGAGCTCCCCCAACATGGATTCTGTCCCCAACCTCCTGGACTCACGCAGAGGCAGCAGTGTCTCTGTGGACCCCCAGCACTATGACCAGAAGTCAATGGTAGGTCACTGTCTTCTCTCCTGCCTATAGGCCCAGTGCCAACATTGGGCTTCTGATAAAGCCTTTACCCAGAACGACTTCACTTGCAAAGTACTTGATTTATCCACTGTCCATTTTCTGTGAGAAATCACAGATCCTAGGACACCTTGTCCCAGTCTGAACCACCACTATGAGGAGAATGCCAGGCTGCTTTAACTACCTTCAGTGGGTCTGAGCTAAGGGCAGACAAAACCACTTCCATATCACCCTGAACTGCATGAGAAGAAGAGAGGACATGTGCAGCCCAGGTGTGCCAATAATCATTAGAAAACCAAAGAGGAAATATTGTATGGGATTGCACACACCGTCTGCACAGAATGCTGGGAGAAAGTTGAAAACATGGGTGTGGGGGGGGGGGTTCCAAACCTTTTGGTCTCAGAACTGCTTGGCGCTCTTAACAATTATTGAGTATCCTCCAAAGATCTGTTATGTGAGTTTTATCTATTAATATTTACCATTTTAGATACTAAAACATCATAGTATTACTATGAAAATAGCTTTAACCTCATGGATACCTTGAAAGAGTCTCAAGAACCCCCAGGAACCCCCAGACCATGCTTTGAGAACCACTGCTTTAAATAAAAAAGATCATTTCTGGCAAACCTAAACTCCTAACCTTAGCCTTGTCCCTAATGTTTTCCTAACCTTGCCCCAGAACTTACTCCTTTCAATGGGACTATAATCCTAAACTTGCCCTTAGACTGATCCCTAACCCAGCCTAACTTTAACTCTAAACCAGTTCACAGTCTAAGACCTCAATAACTCCCCCTACCTGTAGCCCTATTGTTAGTTTGCACTCTGAAGACAAGGTGTATTCATGGAAGGTAAAGATCGCCCTACCCCACCTCCCCACCCTGCCCCTCTGTAATCTGCTTACTTGTAAATTGGTGATAAGCTCATCAGTGAGGGATAGAGTTCTCCCCTGTCTCCTAGGCCCTAGCCATTCCCTGTTCTCACAGGTGACATAGTATGCAGATGCTAAACACCTAGCTGTGCCTTACAAGGATAGAGAACCTCTGGGCAGGAAGGGGAAGGTGGGCACACATTTAGGCCAGATTTGAACTCTGGAAGATGAGTCTTCCTAACTCTGGGCCTAGTACTCTGTCCATTCTTTGATGTTCTTCTTTTCCCCGGTATAGTTTTTTTCTTCTTCTTCTTCTTTTCTTTTTTTAAGAGTGACTTACCCAGGGTCACACAGTTAGTAGGTGTCTGAGGCTGGATTTCTCCTGACTCCAGGGCTAGTGTTCTGTCCACTGCGCCACCTAGCTGCTCCTTCTCACCCAGTTTAAAAACATTTCTTGTTGTCATTAACTTTCCTTGCCAACCTCAGCTCATTTTGAGTTTCTGTACTATTCTTATCACTTATCACTATCCTTACAGAATTGCGTCACTTTTGTATTCATTCTGTTATCTCCCTTTACTTCTGCACATCTTTTTTTTTTTTCTAATTTATGTTGGTAGATGAGATCCCTTTGTGTCTACATCACTCTCTCTAGATAACACCTTGTTTTCTTCCTCAAAGGAATTGTTTTTCTTTGTGTCTTCAGATTTCATTTTTAAAAGTCACCCATATCCTCTGGACTTGGCTTCCCCTGTAAAGTTGTTGGCCGTGGCGTCTTACCTTTCCTTTCTCTGAACCCTTTGAAATTGCTCCTGCCTCCCTTCCCAAACCTAGGAGGCCAGGAAGATTGTGTCTAACTTCTTCCTCCTTTTCTGTCACAAAGTCTAAGATAGCATGGCTATTTTTCCCAAAGGTTCCTATCATCTCCATTGTAGCCACCAATTCCTCCTCGTTGGTGAAAATCAGATCCAGAATGAAAGTTTTCCTCGTCGGTTCCATTAAAGCCAGTCAGGACACTGTTAGCTGTTGCAATTGGGCATAGAAAAAGTTGCAGCAGGCATCCAGATGGCTGGAGCCCCCCATTCACACCACGCCAGGCCCTTATGGTCCTATTTCCCCACTGCTTTCACCTCTCCTGCTCCTTTCCGAGCTATACTCTAGCCCCATCAGGTCTCAGTGATGAGATCAAATTTGCCTTGTTGCACCAGGACTCCAGATCATCTTCCTTGTTACCCTGCTCTAGGTATAGGCAGAGATGATGTCATGGGTTTTACTGCTGTTGATTCCTGTTTTGAATTTTGTCTCTTGTGAATTTCCTGGCTTGTCTTTGCAATTCCTCCATCGTAACTACTCCCTACAGTATTTAGGTTAGAAGATCTAAAGTATGAGCAGCTTTCTCCCTCCTCTCTTTTTCACTTTAAAGCCTTCTGATTAGATTTGCAAATCTTCAAGCAAAGCCATTCTTTTTTTCATAGTACTTTATTTTTTCCAATTACATGCAGAGACAATTTTTAACATTCATTTTTTAAATAAAATTTTGAGTTCCAAATTTGCTCCCTCCCTCCCTAAGACAGTAAGCAATTTGATATAGGTTATATATGTGCAATCGTGTAAAACTATTTCTGCACTAGCCATGTTGTGAAAGAAGAAACAGTTAAGCAAAGCCATTCTTATAAGCCCTCATTAGGTGAACCTGATCCCTGCTTATCAGCCTGTCATCTTTAAATAGTTCAAACCATGTTCCTAAAGTCCAAATCCCATTCTTTTTTGTTTTCAAATCCCATTCTTAAAGACCATTCTTTTAACCAGCTGTTCACATCCCAAATGTTCAATCCCAAAATGCCTTTTTCTTCTGAAGTCTGTCTCCGTTTGGAAGTAGTGATTAAAACACGACCTGTGCCTTTCCTCTGAGATTATCCCCATTTGCATCGTATCTCTCTTGCATGTACTATTTTGGGCATGTCGTCTCTCCCTCTAGAATGTGAGATCCTTGAAGGCCGGGACAGTTTTTGCCCTTTTCGCCAGGGACTGCCAGCAGAGTACCTGGCACATAGTAGGCACTTAATTAACATTTGTTAACTCGGCTTTCTTTGAACCTCCAGTGCTTGACACATAGTAAATGCTTTCGACCAATTTTCTACGGGCATTTCTCAGGCCTTTCTCTTAGCCATTTTCCTGAGCTTGTTAATGGTATCATTTCAAGCTGTGGATGGCTTCTTGCTTAAGACCTCATAATCTTCAACAGTGTTCTCCGGATTTATTCTGTAAATTTGTGCCTAGGTGAATCATCAGATTTAGGTAGCAGTCACCAGGTATGACGAGGCTTAGGAAATTCCCCATAATACTCAAGATATAAATGCTGTAGAGAGAAATCTCTTTATTATTATTGTCAAGCTGACAAGTTATCTGTCTTGTCATCCCTCATCAGAGTGTCACTAATTGCTTCTACTCATCTCTTCCTCCTCTGACCCTTACGGGATGATTGCTCATCCTGTGGGTATATGTCACTCCTTAAAAAACAAGAAATTCCCTCCTCTTTAAAGGGTATAATTCCCTCCTCTTCAAGAAGAGCCTCATATGTATTCCCAAGCTGCATGGATTCAATACTCTTTCTTCTCTGTCTCATATTCTATTGTTGTGACTCCAAACTCCATACATGTATTAGGATTCCCCTCAGTCTCTTAAGATCCTTTGTTTTTCTTTTGTTTTCACACAGAAGCTTTTCTTCTAATTTGTTTTTTTTTATTTGTTTTGTTTTTAAAGAATATTCCATTCTTCTTGATAGCCTGGAGAATAGAGAAATGTGCCTAATGTCCCTTTATCTTTTTTTTAACCTTTTTTTCTGTGAAGGAGAGCAGCCTATACTTTGAGCAAAGATAAGAGTCATTTGATCATGGCAGAAATAAAAGCTTTGCATATTCTTTGCAGATCACTGCAAAATTCACCCTGCTCTCCATACCAGCTGAAAGGGAAATCCTAAGTCTTTTGTGGTTCTTGCTAACTACTCCCATGGAAGACTGCTGGGACAAACAGGATGGACTGCATGGCATGGTGGATCTGAGAAACTGGGTTCCAATCCCAGCTCTGACACTAACCATGTGACCATGAGTCATTTCCTTAATCTCTCTGGACCTCAGTGTCCTCATGTTGAAAATGAGGGAGCTGGACAAGATGGCTTCTAGAATACCTCCCATCTCTAAATCTATGATCGTATAAAACTGTGAGATGCCAGGGAGGGTCTTCAACCCAAAGATGTCACTTTCCGTTCTCTCCTTTTTTAGCTCCTTACCATTGTTAGCACCTTAACAGTCATATTCACTTTCCGTTCTCTTCTCTTACTACTACTGCTGCCAAAAATAATTAGTATATACAAAGTGCTTTAACATAGTATTTTATTTTATCTTTACAGCAACCAGGGTGGGGGAGGGTAGGCGCTTTTATTAATCCCATTTTACAGTAGAGGAAACCAAGGCAGACAAAGGTTAGGTGACTTACCCAAGGTCACATGGCTAGTAAGTATCAGAGGTCAGATTGTAATTCAGGTTTTCCAGACTTTGGATCCAGCAATCTATCAACCATATCCACCTAGTGGCCTCTTAACAACTCGTCTTCTTGTGTCTTACCAACTTCCTTCTGCTTAAGTCTGCTTGACTCTCTCTATGTCATATCTCATCCCGATTCTTGCAGCTAGAGCCGTCCTATTGTCCTTCTATTCTTTCTCTCCCTCCTGCTCCTCTCTTCTCTCTTGTCCTTGCCCTAGAATTTATATCTTCCTCCTTTCCTTCGTATTGTTGTTCAGCTCTAGTCTTTCTCTTCCATTAGGTAAAATCCTTCTCCTATTTCTCCTCCTCCTTAAACTTCTCAAATCCTCCCAGGAGCTAAAATCCTGTTCTATTTCTATTTTTTCCACATGTCCTCCCCTAAACTATTCTTTAGGGTCCTTGTCTGACTTAAGATCCTAGGTCATGCCTGACCTCAAAGGTTCACATGTTCTTATGTTCTTATATTCAAGGTAGCTTAGACTGGGAGATCTGCCCTGGGTTCTAAACCCAGCCCTGTCATTAATTCATTATGTGACCTTGAGATAATCAGTAATGATATTCCCTGTTCCGCTTCTCTCAAAAGACCTGGATTCAAACCCTGTTGTGAGAATTTAATGAGACAGTGGATATAAAAACATTTTATAAATTATAAAGAATTTTATCAACTATTAAGGAAGCCACAAGTTATAGTGTAGCTAAAAGAGTGATGAATTCATTTTAAGAAAACTTGAGTTAGATTCCAGTTCCACTAGTTATTATACAGTGCTTTGGGCAACTCACCTTCCCTCCATGGGCCTCAGTTTCCCTATCTATAAAATAAATTAGACCAGATCAGGGGTTCTTAATCTGGGGCCCATGAACTTGTTTTTAAAAGAGAGACAGAGAGAACTATTTCAATATAACTTGTTTCATCATAATTCTATGTACTTTATTTTATGAATTTAAAAACATAATTCTGAGAATGGGTCCATAGGCTTCACCAGACTGCCACAGGGGTTCAGGACACAAAAAGAGTGACGAACCCCTGGACTAAATGATCTCGGCTTTCTGCTACGCCTAGATCCTATGATCTTATATTTCTAAACCTTTGGAAGACAGCAAGGTGCTTTGCAAACTGTGAGCAGATTTATAATCTCTAAATCACTTTGCAAACTACGAAGGACTTCCTATGTCACTGATTTCTTATTAATGTTTTCCCTCATGTCACATCCTTCCCTGACTGTCTCTCAGTCCAGCCTGCGCAGCTCTCCCTGTGCCAACTGGGGCCCCAGCAGTGCGTGGGGCAGCAGGCGCTCCAGCTGGAACAGCCTGGGCCGGGCGCCCAGCTTAAAGAAAAGCCAGTGTGGGGAGCGCGAGTCCCTCCTCTCCGGGGAGGGCAAAGGCAGCACAGACGAGGAGTCGGATGACGCCAAGCCGGGCTCAGCTGGCCGGGCGTCCCAACTGCGCCGGGCCGAGTCCCTGGACTACCGAAGTACGTCAGACCTGCGGGAGGGGCTCCAACGGCTGCCCCCACGCCCAACTGCTCTGCTGCCCCGGGAGTGCCGGGACTGCAATGGACAGATGGTGCACGTGCCCAGCGAGTTCTTCCTCCGCATCGACAGCCACAAGGAGGACCCTTCAGACTACGATGATGACATGGATGATGTGAGTTGGGTCACTCTTCAGGTCACTTGGATGTGACCGGGGCGGGGGGGGGGGGGGGTGAGAGTGTCTCCTTCACTCCTGAAGTCTCTGCATCTCTTAGAGAAGTGAAGGGATGATGCGAAAGCTGATGCTGTTGGTGCTGATGTTGATGATAAGAATAGTAGTATTTCACATTTCTACAGCACTTTACGATTTGCAAAGCCGTTTTCTCAAAACCATCCATTGAGACATTTGTGCAGCTATTATTTTTTTCCATTTTATGGATTAAAAAACTGAGGATCAGCGAGTTTAAGTGACTTGCTTAAAGTCCCACAACTAGTAAATCTCAGAACCGGAACTGGAGCCTCTTTGCTCCAAGCTCAATGCTTTTTCCGTTGTCCCACACTAGCTTTGATATAGAACACTTTTCGCTCCTTTGTCTCATTTAGAACCCTGGAATGTTAAAAGTCAAATCAATCAAGCATTTTTTAAGTGCCTACTATGTGCCAGATGCTCGGCAACCACAGGGAACACAAATACAAAGATGGAAGTGATTGCTTGTCTCAAAGACCTTACATTCTAGCAGAGAGACAGAAAGTGCAGATGTAAGTCAATGGCTGCATCCCAATGAATGCCAATAACAAATCCCCTCAATTGGTCTCACTATTCAGATTGCTGTAACTTTTTGTGGCTGCATTTGGGGTTTTCTTGGCAAAGAAACTGAAGTGGTTTGCCATTTCCTTCTCCAGCTCATTTTACAGATGAGAAAACTGAGGCAAATGGGGTTAAGTGACTTGCTCAGAGTCACACAGATAGTAAGTGTCTGGAGGCTGGATTTGAACTCACAAAGATGAGTCTTTTTGATTCCAAACCCAGTGCCATATCCATTGTGCCACCTAGCTGCCCCATTGTTCAAATTAACACTCAATATTTCCAGTGGGCTGGAACTGACTACCATTTTACTTAATTATAACTTTGAATAATGTGAATTTGAAGACATGCAACCACTTCAAGGGATTCATTAGTCGTAGTACTTGGGATGTAACTATATTGCAAATTAATATAAAGAGAAGAAGTACAAATAAATAAAAGATAGCTCAATACAAAGTCATTTGAAAGGGAAAGCTTTCCAATTGAGGGGATCAAAAAAAGCTTCACTTACAAGATAGTTCTCGAGCCAGGTCATGAAGGCAGAAAGGGCTTCTATGAGGAGGAAGCAAAGAGGGACTGTATTCCAGGCTTAGGGAATGGGGGAGATGGAGGAATGACTTTCATAAAGATGTGGAGTCCAACAATGAAATGCCGTGTTGGATGCAAAGAGAAAGCCAGTGTGGCTGGATTACAGAATACGAGATTGGGAGTAATGTAAATTGAGGCTAAAAAAATACAATGGAACAAGATTGTGAAAAGCTTTTAAAAGCCAAGCAGAGTTTACATTTTACCCTAGAAAAAACAGAGAACCACTGAAGTTTATTGAGTAAGGCATGGTCAGGTCTGCTCTTAAGAAGAACGATTTTGACAACCATGTGCAGCTGTATGGCCCAACAAATCAAGTGCTGGACCTGGAGTCAGGAAGACCCCAGGCACACACACTTACTAGCTGTGTGACTCTGGGCAAGTCACTACCGTGCCCCCCCCCGTGTTTGACTCAGTTTTTCCATCTGTAAAATGAGGATAATAATAGCCCCTACCTCCCAGGATTGTTGTGGGATGAAATAAGTTAGTATTTGTAAAGTGCTTTGCAAACATTAAAATACTATATAAATGCTAGTTATTATCATCATTAGTATCAATGTTATCACAGACTAGAGCAGGGAGAGATTGCTACAAAGAGACTGATTAGGGGACTTTTGCAGTAGTCTAGGAGAGAGGCACAGGGACCTGAATGAAAGTGAAGGCTGGTATGAGTTAGAGGAACCTCAGAGATCATCTGGAATCACCTCCTCATTTTGCAGATGAGACAGTAGAGGCTACAGAGGGGAAAGGACTTTCTCAAGGTCACACACAAAATTTGTGATAAAGCTGGTAGAGCTGGGTCTCCTAGATTCCAGGCTTGTGCTCTCTCCACCACACCATGCTGCCTCTCACTAGTCAAATAGGAACGTCCTCATTTGTCCTGCCTCCATAACCCCTCCCAAGGACTCAGAAGAAGATGATCTAGCTCACAGGATTCCCCAAGAGAGGGAAGAAAGGCTATATATTGGGCAGGGCAGGTTTAGTGATCCATGAGCAGAGAAAGGACCCCCGTTTCCTCTCATTGCCAATAGCAAATGGTTTTATGAAAGGGAGCATGGTATGATGGAAATGGTACTAGATTTGAAATCTGAAAGACTTGGGTTCAAATGCTATCCTTGCTACTTATTGTGTAACTTTGGGTAAGTTCCTTGTGCTCTCTTGGTCTCATCTGACAAATTGTTGTTCATCCTTCATTCTTGAAGAGGACCAATGACATCAGGGAGGGTTGGTGTCTTGACTTGCAAGTGAATTGGATTCAAGTGAGGCAGGGCTGTGCAAAGTCATCAGCCTCACTCTCTCCTCCAGAGTTACTGGAGTCTAATGGGAAGACATAGGTCAGGATGACTGGCAATGACCCACTCTGGCAAATAAGGGATTTGGGGTAGATAGCCATTAAATCCTCTCTAACTCTAAATCTCATAATCCTTCAATCTTCTTTCGCTTCCAGAGCTACTGCTTCCGACTAAAGAAGATGTTGGAGCCCTACAAGCCAGAATGGTGTAAGACTCATGAAGACTGGTCCTTCTACATATTTTCACCTCAGAACCGGTAAGAAGCCACCCCCATCAGCTGCAGATGGTGGTGATTGAGCTTTCCTCTGGACATAGCAATGCTAGCCTTCAAAGGTAGCTCTGTGGGGTTCAAGAAGCAAGCATGGCCCCGCCCTCTAGAATTTCACAAATGGCATCAGCCCGATCCCCAGGATCACCAACCTGTGCCACTGCCTCACATAGGACACTGCCAGTTTCCACAAGTTCCCTTCCACCTTCTGTGATACTGCACTCCCATCTCTAGTCAAAGGCGAACACGGGACAGAGGGAAGCCTGGTCCTGCTTGATTCTTCTTTCTATAGTTCAGAGAACTAATTAATACTGCACCCAAGCATCTTCTTATATCGATACCACCAAAATATCTAGATGTTTATTTATAATAATAACAACATAAAGAACCATATATAGTAGATCATTATTGCTAAAAGAAATGTCAAAACATCAGGCATAGAATGTCGAGAATGAAAAGGGACTAAGACCTTGGAACGCAGGATGGTAGCACTAGACTGGACCTAAAAATATTGGACATAGACTGTCAGAACTGAAAGGAACCTCAGAAAATAGAACACAGATTATCACAAATCAAAGGGAACTTAGAATGTGGAACACAAGATGGTTTTAAAGATGGAAGGAAACTCAGAACATAGAATGTAGAATGTCAGAAGGGAATTCAGATCATAGAACAAAGAATGTCAGAACTTAAAGTAACCTCAGAACATAAAATGTAAGAGCTCAGAGAAATTTCAGAACAGAGAACATTGAATGTCAGAGCTGAAAGGGAACTCAGATCATAGATCAAAGAAGGTTAGAGGTAGGAAGGACTCTAGAACATAGAATGTCAAAGCTGGAAGAAACTAAGATTCTAAGGAACATAAGCTCTCAGAACGGGAAGGGACCTTGAGATTGCTGAGTTCAGCCTTTTTAAATTAGAGGCAAGGACATACAGTACTAGGGGCAGCTAGGTGGCACGTGGATGAAGCTCTGAACCTAGAGTCAGATAGACTTGAGTTCAAGTCTGGCCTCAGACACTTATTTGCTGTGTGACCATGGGCAAGTCATTTAACCCTGTTTGTCTCAGTTTCCTCATCTGTAAAATAAGCTGTAAAAGTAAATGGCAAATCACTCTAGTTATCTTTGCCAAGAAAACCCCAAATGGTTTCACGAAGAGTCAGACACAACTGAAATAACTCAACAACAACAACATATAGTACTAGATAGGGGAAAGAACTTCCCCAGGGTCAGACCACAAGTTAGTGTTTGGTGAGGCAGCTAGGTGGTACAGTGGATAGGGCACCAGGCCTGGAGTCTAGAAGACCTGAGTTCAAATTCAACCTCAGACACTTTACCTCAGTTTTCTCAACTTTAAAATGAGGATAATAACAGCACCTACTTCCCAGGGTTGTTGTGAGAATCAAATGAGATGATATTTGTAAAATGCTTAGCACAGTGCCTGACACATAGTAGGCGCTATATAAATATTTATTCCCTTCCTCTTCCTCTCCTCCCTAGTAACACAGCTAGACTAGTTTGCACAATGAATCTGACCACTTTCACCCCCCACTCACCCCACCGTAAAGTCATGTCATTCTCCACAAATCCATAGGAGGGATACCAGAAGTCCTAAGAAGGCCCCAATACCACCCCCAAAATTCTCCACATCCACCATCACTGACCTGGGCCTGGAATCCAACCATTGGCATGACATTAGCATGTCACCACAGAGACACCACTAGCCTTGGAGCCAGAACACTTGAGTTCAAAGCCTACCTATACCCCTTCCCTACTGTGGGACCATGCTTTACATTTTCCAGAGCCATTATCTCATTGGCACCACCTTGGGTGGGAGGCAGGACATGGCTTACTCCTCCCTCTTTTACAGATAGATGAACTTCATTTAGGCTCAGGCAAGGGGAGGGATTCACGCCAAGTTACACAGAGTTAGCAACAAACCAAGACTAAAACACAGCTCCGGTAACCCCCCACTCCATGAGAGCACTCATTTGCAGGCAATATCGGGTTTTGAGTCTATTTGTTCCTCCCTTGACTCCTGAATCTACTTTTTTTGCTCCACCCAGAGCCCGGGTCACATGTCAGAAGGTCATTGCCCACAAGATGTTTGACCATGTGGTCCTGGTGTTCATCTTTCTCAACTGTATCACGATAGCCCTAGAGCGACCTGACATTGATCCTAACAGCACAGTAAGTACCCCCATTCCACCCCAAAGGCCAAGAAGGCTCCCTCTTTCACTGGCTCTCAGATCTGGGCTCAATTTGTAACCCATCTTAAAGTAACCTTGGGAATAGCCACAAGCCTGGCTTCCTGGGGGGCAACACATATACACACACACACAGACAGACCTTCCCTCATTATGGGTTTTGGCTTGTCTGAACTATCCAGGCAAATGGTTCAGGTGTGGTTAAATTATACAGCAGAACAATTACTCCTGAATGGCCCAGACAGATTTGTCAGCACTGCCAGTCCCCACTGACTGTAGGTCTCTGTCACCCTATAGAGATGACCCTGAAGCTGGTTGCTTTACTGAGAGTCACCGACAGGGCAGCTCACGTGATCAGAGAATGGAAGAATGTCAGAACTGGTGGGGACCTTAAATATGCTCTAGTCTAACATGTCCGAACTCATTTTATAAATATGCTGACATCTGGGGGGTAGAGATCGCCCCAAATCAAGTCAGTAGAAGAATTAATATAAATTAATATAATTAATTAATATTAATATAAATTAATATAATCTCCCAGCTCAAAGTCTACGACTTTGTCAATTACACCCTCCCTCTTGGAGACATTCTGCCCTTAGAAGTGTAAACCATGAATGTCCCCAATTCCCTATTTACTGAGGGTCAGTGTAGCTCCAGCCTGCTTTTCCTCTGGGTCACCACTGTCAGGAATCCTCATGTCATGTCCCTTCCTTACAGGAACGAGTCTTCCTGAGTGTTTCCAACTACATCTTCACAGCGATCTTTGTGGCTGAAATGATGGTGAAGGTATCTGGCACCAAAGTTTTCTTTTTGATTGGATGAAAGCACAGGGAAGGAAGAGGGGTAGGAGGTGGGGAAGGGCGGGAGGAGGCGGGGAGGGATTCAGCATGGCTTTTGCTCAGCAACCTAGTAAACATGGCATACGGTTTCAAAAGAGTCTAGTTGCCCACAAGAAGACCCAAAGCCTCCACGTAAATGTCCAACTCTCTCCAGGTCCACCACTCATTGCCCTGAAATTTCCTCCCCATGGAATATCTCACCTACCAAAATCCTATTTGTTCTTCAAGACCATCATCTCTGTGAAAACTTCCCTGATTCCCCCTCACCAAAAAGGGTCTCTCCTTCCCCTGACGTCTCCCAGCAATACCTCCCTGTGGTCTTGAATGTAGTTATTGATGTCTCATGTCAGCTACTAGATTATGAGATTCCTAAGGGTAGGAGTCAAAGATGAATAATTCATCTTGGTATACCCCACATGTCCACCACAGGGTGCCATCCACCCATTCATCCATCCATACATTCAACAAACATCTATTAAGCACCTAGTTAAGAGCTTACTCTTCTGTAGATGTACAAAGCACATTCCATTCAATAGTTCTGCAAGTATCCACATCCCCAATTTGCAAATGAATCAACCGAGGCTGAGAAAAGTGAAACAGCTGGCCCATGGCCACCCAAGCCATAAGTTTTGGATCAGGCCTCTTGTCTCCCAGTCCAGAGTTCCTTTGACCATCCCGTTTTGTCTCACTATGTATAAGGAGCCAAACTAGGCCCTAGGGAAGACACAAAGATAAGTAAGACATAAATAAGGGTTGTGTATACAGCTAGCATCCAATAAGTGCTTCCCACAAGGCTGTGTGCCCTTGATGGCATTCTTGAGTTGACAATATCTGTGGCTCCATTCCCAGGTGGTGGCCCTGGGCTTTTTCTCTGGGGAGAACAGTTATCTGCAGAGCAGCTGGAATGTGCTCGATGGGCTCCTGGTCTTTGTCTCCATCATCGACATCATTGTCTCCATGGCCTCAGCTGGTGGGGCTAAGATCCTGGGCATCCTCCGGGTTCTGCGGTTGCTGAGGACGCTGAGGCCACTTCGGTATGTACTGGGCTCCGGAATCTGTCCCCACTGGGCAGGACTGGATACAGGACTGGATACAGGATGAAGTTATGTCATTGGGAATGGCACCCAAAGAAGGTCCATCCTACAGCCAGCTCTCAATTTTCTAAGGGTACATGGCCCATTATATAGCTTATCCTAGCCTTTTCACTCTGTCTCCACCTTCTCCTTCTTGTCTCCTGGCCAATCCAGAGCCCTTAAGGGCAACCAGAAGAAATAAAAGGAAAAATGGATAGAGCACCAGCCCTGGACTCAGGAGGACCTGAGTTCAAATCTGGCCTCAGACACAAAACACTCACTAGCTGTGTGACCCTGGGCAAGTCACTTAACCCCACAGAGATAGTGTCAGTTAAGATTTATAAGAAGTACCTAGGTATTTTGTCCTTTGTGTCTTGCTCCAAAACAGAATTTTCTTTTGATGTTTTAGCCCAACAGGACAGCCAATCAGTGCTCAGGTCTGAATTGTAAGACAATAGCAATGACTGGATAGCTAGGTGGCCCAAGGGATAAAGTTCTGGAACTGGAGTCAGGAAGACCCAAATTCAAATGCAGCTTCAGACACTTACTTGATGTCTGACTCTGGGCAAGTCACTTGATTAACCCTGTTTGCCTCAGTTTCCTCATCTGTAAAATGAGCTGGAGAAGGAAATGGCAAACCACTCTAGTATCTTTGCCAACCCCAAATGCGGTCATAAAGAGTTGGACATTACTAAAATGGCTTAACAACAAAAAACGTCTAGAGAAAAAAGAGTGTTGTTATAAGTCTAGAAGTATTTATTGAAAGATAAACCGGATGGGAAGTCAGTAGCCCCATGGTCCAGTCCTACTAGTCCCAAAGTGGCAGCCACGTTCCTCATAGCCAAGCCTAGCCTTCCATTTCCTATACTCTGAAGTATTAGTGATCTCCATGGACATCGGCTATCCGTGGGTTACTGCCCTTTGCCAAACAGTCCTATTTCCATTTGCTCGTCTCCCTCCTTATAGTCTCAGTGTGAGGACAATAATCTCCAAGGGCAGTATCAGCTGATGCAAATCACTTGTTATGGTGGTGACTGGCAGTCTCTTAAAAAGCCCCAGTCCTGAGCTAAGTGGCCCCAGGCTGATTCCATCTTAGGCCTGTGTTCAGCATGGGCATGAATCTCTTGGTCAATGAAAAGTGAACTGTTCCACTTTATAGTGGGCAGTCAGATGGGTGCATAAATCAACAATTTACCCCTTTAGATTGGTAGAGTGAGGAAGCAAATGCTGTTATTACTAATTAAGAGCATGTGAGTTGTGCCAGAGAGAGAAAGAGAGAAACATTTTATATATATATATAATCACACCATCTATCATCCCCAACAGGGACTCATTGACAAATTCAAGGGTGAGCATGGGGGGCCAATAAATCTGTCACCACGATGATTATGTGACTGACTCCCACGGAGCTGGCTTTGCAAGGATTCTCTAAAAGACAGTGACAGGAGAGGCCCAGGGAAGTGGGGGAGGGAGCTGTGTGTGCCCCTGTTATCTCACGCAGGGAGTGAGGTAAGACACAGACGATCTTAGCTCCTAGAAAATGGAAACCTAAGTATAAAAGCAAAGCTTAAGACATGTAGTAGGGGCAAGGGTGTGTTGATCAATATTTAACAACTGGCTCTCTGAAAATACAGAACATACTTTTAAGTTTGATCAGCATCCTTCCTTAAGTCTAGACAATCAACAAAACAATAAATCAAGCCTTGGTTTTTAGCATTTGCCAAATTCCAAGATGTAAATGCTGACACTGAAAATTTAACAATCAGCTAACACAAACCAGTAGGAGCTGACTCCAACACACCCCTGGCTATGAGTCTGCCACACAGAAGGTAAATCAAACCAGGAAAGATTTGGTGTCTTTTGAGGCAATTCATAAGCCAGTTATATAACCAACCTCTGCTCTGTACAGTTAATTTTAATCATAAATATGGCAGCTCTATCACTAACCTATTTGCTGTTCCTCCATCTCCAAATCTATGCCTTTGCATTGGCTGTGCCCCGTGCCTATAATCCTTTCCTCACTTCAGCTCCCTTTTAGGCTCTACTCAAGCACCACCTCCTCTGGGAGGCCTAACCCAGCTCTACTAGCTGCAAATGCCTTCCTCTACAAGGCGACCTTCCATATACTTCATATGTGTCTTGTATGAACTGAATTATGTGTACGTTGTCTCTCCCATTCAAACATATGGTCTTTGAGGACAGAGACTGTTTATGCTTTTGTATCCCCAGCACTTAGCACTGAGCCCAGCACATAGTAAGTGCTTAATAAATGCTTGTTGGTTCATTGATTGATGATATCCATAGTTGCGGCAACAAGTTTGCATAATCCCACTGAAGACTGATTGTGAAAGGTGATGTGTAATTTATTCCCCAAACAGTGTACCGGAGAAGTGGAGCTGCTGAACCGGAGTGACCAAAATGAGCAGCAACATCATCTAGAGGCAGCTCCCATAATGCCCTGACACATTGGCCTTGAGATCTAGAAAGAGCTGTGTGCGGGGCGACTAGGTGATGCAGTGGATAGAGTGCCAGGCCTGGAGTCAAGAAGACTCATCTTCCTAAATTCGAAATTGGTCCCAGACACTTACTAGTTCTGTGACCCCTTAGCAAGGTTGCCTCAGTTTCCTCATCTGTAAAATGAGCTAGAGAAGGAAATGGCAAACCACTCCATTATCTTTTCCAAGAAAATCCCAAATGGGGTCATGAAGAGTCAGATACAACTGAAACAACAACAACAACAAAAAGTAGTTGTATCCATATAAACTGACAGCAGATATCACATTCTCCATGGTCAAATGAAGTCATAAGTCTGATTCCTGGCTCTCCTTCATGATGACAGGGGTAGATCACGGCTAACTTACTGTGAATGTCACCCTATCTCCAGATGCTGGGTCAGTTATCAGGAAACCCAAGGTCAAGTTGTAGTTTTGTCAATGGATTCACTGTGACCTTGGAGCAAGTTTTTCTTCCTTCCTGGCCCATCTCTGAAAAAAAAAAAAGGAGTACATTAACAGTTATCTAACTAGGTGATGTAGTGGATAGAAAACTGGGCTTGGAATTAAGAAGATTCATCTTCCTGAGCTCAAATCCAGCCTCAGTCACTCACTGGCTGTGTGACCCTGGGCAAGTCACTCTACCCTGTTGGCCTCAGCTTCCTCATCTGTAAAATGATCTGGAGAAAGAAACGGCAAACCACTCCAGTACCTTTGCCAAGAAAACCCCAGATGGCGTCGTGGAGAAAAAACAAAAACAACCTAACAACAAAAGTGCTCTATTACTTAGCAAAGTGATTGCACATGGTACTTAATACATGCGGTTTCATTCATTCATTTACTTGCGTCTAAGGGCCCTGCTAGCTCAGGCATTTGGTGACTGTAACTACTCGGGCTGCTATGTTACCGACAGGTTGGAGACGACACTCCAGCAAGGACGCCAGGGGTGGATACTAACGTTCAGAATTTGTTCTTAAGTTTATTTGTTGTAATATTTTGGTCCAGGGTGATCAGCCGAGCCCCGGGCCTCAAGCTGGTGGTAGAAACCTTGATATCATCTCTCAGACCCATTGGAAATATTGTCCTCATCTGTTGTGCCTTCTTTATCATCTTTGGTATTCTTGGGGTTCAGGTAAGAGTGTTCTTTGCATTTGCTGGCATAGAGTAGGGTTGTGGGTGCTATTAAGGGCCCCTGGAGACACGGCTGCTGGTCCAACCCCGCCACAAACTCAGTTTGTGATCCTCATCAAAGCTGTTATCTTCCCTAAGCTTCAGCTAATCTCACACTTGATACCTGTGTGGCAATTGAAAAGTCACTAAATTTCCTTAATACTATCTCAGGAAGGAAGGAGGGTAAAGGAGGGAGAGAGAAAATTTGAAACTCAAAATTTTTTTTAAATGAATGGTATGTTAATAGCTAGGCATAAAGTTATTTTTTTTTAGTCTACGAGTCTTTGGCCACTATCATTTCTTGAGCGTCGGCCATATATTTAAACATATTTTCCACCAACCTCCTCTATGCTTTTGCACTGAAATCACAGAGCATAAAGTATGTGCTGGTTTAATTTTTGCTTCATTGTGTTTTGGTTTTAATTCCTTTTTTCAATTATCAAAAAAGTGAATGTTAAAATTATCTTTACTTATAACTGGGGAAAAATAAAACATTATTTTAAAAAAGAAAAAAGTCATTAAATTTCCTTGGGTCTTGATTTTTCTCATTTATAAAATGAGTAGGCTGAGCTCGATGTGCTCAGAGATGCCCCTATCCCTAAATCTAAGATCCTGAGGAAGTTAGATTGGAATAGGTATTCTTAACCTGGTCTGTTGTTAGATTTCAGGGGGTTCATGAACTTGGATGGGGGGAGGCATCTTTATTTCAATATAATTTTGGTTCATTTACATTCCCATGTACTTTAATTTATGGATCTAAAACATTATTCTGAGAAGGGGTTCATATACTTCATCAGACTGTCAAAAAGGTCCACGACATAAAAAAGGTTAAGAACCCCTGCACTAATATGTCTCTAAGGCCCCCTCCCAGATCCAGCATTCTGTGATTCTATTTCTGGGGAAAAAATAAGCTCAATATCATGAATTCCCATTTGAGGGATGAGAAAATTAAGGCCTAGAAGGGCTCTGGGTAGGTTATATTTTTGCATCTCTAAACCTTTGCCTGAGCTCTTCCTACCCCCTAACCCCCATTCTTGAAAGAAATTCCTCTCACATACCCCACCTGTTTTTTAATCCCTTCTTTTCCTCAAAGCCTAACTCTTTTATGAAGGCCTCACTGACCACCCCACCTCCAAAAAACAATTTATCCTAGCACTTTTCCTGTACCCTTTCCTTTGCATGCATTTCACTCACCCTTCTATCATGGGTATTTGTAGACATGTTCCTCCCCTCTTCTGCCTCCCAATTATATTGTAAGCTCCCTTGAGAATAAGATCTCTGTCATATCCATCTATGGGTCTCCAACATCCAATGTATATTGGGCCTTTCGTGAGTGTTTGTCATTCATGAATGTTGGTTGAGATGAGCTGTTGTCTCTTCACTCCAGCTCTTCAAGGGTAAGTTTTATTACTGTGACGGGCCAGACACTCGAAACATCACCACCAAAGACGACTGCTGTGCAGCCCGTTACCGCTGGATCCGGCGCAAGTACAACTTCGATAACCTGGGTCAGGTGAGTGCCGCATGAGACCAGCCTGGGGTTGAGGCCAGGTCCACAGATGATGGGCTGGGATCAGGGGTACCTGAGGGCTCACACCTTCCTTCCTGTTCTATCTGGGTCTGGCTCCTCCCCCAAGTAGAATACCATATCTATGAAGACCCCCAAGGAAATATTTCTGTCACAGCCAGAGCCAGATGAAAAAGGGATCCGGGCACTCAGCCCATGCTTAGGACCTGGATGGTGTCTTAGTCCATCTAGGGAATACAGGTTGAACACAGTTGACTCAGCAGCAGCTGGGTGGTATAGTGGATAGGTTGAATGTTGGACTTAGAGTTGAGAAGACCTAAGTTTAAATCCTTCCTCAGACACACATTGTCTGTATAACCCTGAGCAAGTCACTTAACCTCTCTCAGGCTCCATATCCTTATCTGTATAATGGGGATAATAATATCAGCCACCTCATAAAGTTATTGTGATGATCAAATGTAATAATCTATGTAACATATGGATTATAGAGCTTTTTTAAAGTGCTACATAACTATTATCAGCAGTGGTAGTAGTCAAATTCTCTGTAGGGCTGGACGAAGTTGGGGCTACAATACCATCAAACACACCTAGGGTTGAGCCAGACTCCCAAGAAGCTTATAATCTGTCATTGTTGGCCATGTAAGGCTTTAGATTATAAGCTCGCTGAGGGCAGGGACTGTCTTTCTTTTAATTAATTGTATCCCCAGCGCTTAGCACAGTGCCTGGCACATTGTAAGTGCTTAATAAAATGCTTATTGGATTATACAATTGGATGAAAGGACAGAGCCCTGGCTGAGATCCCAGCTATGTTTCTCTGACTAAGATGCTAGAACCTGCCTATAACTAACCACTAACCATATCTGGGGCCAGCCTCACTGTCTTACAGCCAGCTATTGTCCTATTTCCTAGCCTCTCCCTGTACTGTACCTCCCACCTCCATACCTTTGCTCATGCCATGCCCCAAATGTATTCTCTCCACCCCTGCCACAATAATAATCTCCATGTGTAGATGCTCCCCCTTTCCTTCAAGACCTGATCTAGGTTCTCCCTTTTTTCAAACTCTCTCTCCTCTCATTTCCCCAAGTGAAAATGATCTCCCCTTCCTCAAATTTCTCCTAGCACTTTGCCTAGACCTCTCCTTAGCAGTAGTCTCATTTATCTTTGTGCCATCATTATGTCATCATTTCTGCATGCTTTCTTCTTCCCACTGGATGTAAACTATTTGAGAGAAGGGCCTGTGTCATCTCTCTGGCTCTCCCGGGTGCTCAGCATAGGGCTTGCATGGAATAGGCACTTTCTGAGAAACAGTGGAAGGCGTGCTGATATTTGGACTCCAAGGACCTGAGTTCAAATCCCAACACAGACACTTAATATCTATAAATTTCCTCATGAGGGAAACCAGGGAGTTAGACTAGAGAATCTCTAACATCCTTCTAGCTCCAAATCTATGAGCCTGTAATCCCGAGAGTGCTGGATTTAGAGTCAAAAGACCTCCATTTGAATCTCAGTTCCATCACTTACTACTCCTTTTGTGACCTTGGGCCAGACAATCCACTCGCCTAGGTCTCTGAACAGAGACCCTTACCTGGAAAAAGAAGGGTTTGGGCTAAGGTGATTTCTGGAGTCCTTTCTGCAGCTATGTTACATTACTAAATATTTGGTGAAATTAAATTAAAAATGCCCCCTGCTAAAGGTTTCACCCACACTCTAGGCCCCCTAATTATCTCCTCCCTGACACTGACACTGGCCAGATACTTTGAGTTCTGATATCCCCACCTCCCTTTCCCTTTACAAACTGGAAGGTCCTGAGTTTAAAGCAGGTCTGTTTATTCACCGAGAAAAGAGCAAGTTCACAAATTGTCCAGATGACATACAAGAGCCATAGTGCTAGCAAAATGACTGTCAGAGCAAAGAGGAGACATAGAGACCATCCCACACAATTCTTCCATTTTACAAAGGGGCAAACTGAGGCCCAGAGAGGGTAAGCGATGTACTCAAAATTGCACTGCAAGTGGGTGGGAGAACTGAAACTGTAAAACCAGGCATCCTGACTCCTACCCCAGGGATTTTTTTTTAAACTTTAGCAAGGTTCTTTCTTGTCTATGATCTCTTTTTATAGACTGTTGGAGCTTCAAACACAATAAGCTGGAGTTCTTAGCTGGCTTTCAGTTATCCGTACCTCTTCTCTTCTGAGTTAGTGAAGATAAGAGTGGGAGGTGCTGGGGCGGTTGGTTGCAGGACTGGACATTTGCAGGTCATGACTCCACTTCTCCCTGTCTTTCCTGGGCCAGGCTCTTATGTCCCTTTTTGTGCTCTCGTCCAAGGATGGCTGGGTGAACATCATGTATGACGGCCTGGATGCCGTGGGCATCAACCAACAGGTACCTAAGGGGTCAGAGGTGGCAGCGTTTTCCCTTGGGACAGCATGAATCCCAGTGCATTTTTAGAAAAGTAAGGTCTTCCTCACTCTTATTGCCCCCCCCAAAATGTCCCACCTCTGCTTTTTCTACCAGACTTAGGGCTTCCAAACCAAGAGTATGCCAGTGAAATCCTGAAATACACACACACACACACACACACACACACACACACACACACACACAC